AAAAAACAAAAAACAAAAAATCGAAAAGGAAAAAAAACTTGAAACAAATTGAACAGTTGTTTAATTAGAAAATAAATGTTTCTGCAACAAGGTATTCCAATGCATAATATACTATTACTATATAAAATATATATAATAATAAACACCTGGTTAAACTAGTGTCCTGCAAAACTGGAAATAAAGTAACAAGTGCATTGTCATGTTGTTCCTTGCAGATGTACAAGTCTCCATTTTATGTGGCTCTCGATCATGTTAAGAAGTCTGTTGTGGTAGTTATCAGGGGAACTCTGTCTTTACAGGTTAGTTAACGACACATTTTTGTACCGTACTTCCTGCGCTCCTCGTTTAAGTATTATGCCAAAAGTATTTTCCCAATAGTYCCTTATCTCTTTCATTAAAATACCTCTGACTAAAGACTTATCTGTGCACCTATACCAAGAAATAGTCCGAAGTTCTCGACGAATGAGCGCGAGCTATTTTCCATAATTACCTGGGTAATGATCAGTATGTTTTATTATTTGTATTTTGTTAGGACATCTTGACAGATTTTACAGTTGAACCAGAAAGGATTCCTGTGGAGGGAGGTGATCCTTCTTGGTTTGGTCATAAGGTAATAACGCTCTCCTGATATTACGTCATTGTGGCTATAATCATGGTTATACTTCATAAAAGTAATAGTAAAAATAGGCGTCTTGAAAGTCAAATGTTTATGAAATAAAACATATTGATTTTAGTCACATACGGCTTTTGTGCTGGTTTTGTGATTGCTAAGGCATTTTGCTTAGATTGCGAGAAAAGAATTGAGTGGATGAGACTGCGCGTGTCGARTTMGAAGATAAAAAATGGACTTTCKGTTCGGAATTGTTTTGTTATGGATTGAGTACTGCAAGTGGACTTCCTGTGGTGTTAAGGACAGACTWACACGAGGCAGTGGCCAHAAAAATCAACATGTGAGTTGAGTAGTGTGTGTTGTAAATAGTGTATGTAGTGGCAGTGCGTGTGAAGTGAAATCCACCGGCGGGTCGTCCTTCACGAATTTGCGAGATGTGATCCCATTGGAGGGCACACAACCCATAACTATAATTCATGTAGAGAACTATTTAAATCGAAAAGAGCTTTTCAATTACGGCATTCATCATAATTTTATCATTTTCTGAACAAACACAGGGCATGGTACGATGTGCTATGTATATTGAGAACAAACTGATCAATGGAGGCATTCTACAGAAAGCTTTCAACGCTGACCCGGTAAGAGTGCAGTCATTAGGCAAAATAGATATTGAAAAAAAACGAGGGGAATTGGATGGATACCCATTTTCATAASATCACCCATCCTTAGCTAAATCTACTGGCGCGTAGGTATCTGGGGTCCGCCGAAATGGCGTCACATCTACCAACATCTTTTTCTATATATGTGTGGTCTTTTTTCTTGTTAATATGTTAAACTTATTTATTTATTTATTTATTTATTTCTATTTCCTAAAATTCCAGAAACTGTTAACTGTGTAGCTCTTGGAGAGAACACAGAGAGTCAATATGTTTAAATAAAAAAAAAACATCTGAATTCACGATATTGCTTCAAAATTTGATATTATAAAGCACAAGGTGTTGTGTTTTTTTACATTTACATCTCAGTTGTGTATTGTGTATACAAACGGTGTGTTCACATTTCTACCTCATGACAGGACTGCGGTACTCAGAATTACCGTCTTATTCTGTTGGGTCACTCGCTTGGTGCTGGTACAGCGGCTATCTTAGCTTTCCTTTTACGTCCTCGCTATCCTGACCTGTTCTGCTATGCCTACTCTCCTCCTGGAGCCAACCTTAGCCTTTCTGCTGCTAAATATGCAAGAGAGTTTGTTATTTCTGTTGTTGTTGGCAAGGATATGATACCACGGTACGTAGACAATAGTGCGTTATGACGCGCACTCTGATTGGTTTATCAGCGCACAGTCTACACCATAACATAACAGTCGTATTGTAACACATGCACTCATTGGTTCATCATCCCACAACCTACACCATAACATTACAGARTTGTATTATAACGCGCACTCTGATTGGTTCATTATCCCACAGTCTACACCATAACATTACACAGTTGTATTATAACGCGCACTCTGATTGGTTTATCATCCCACAGCCTACACCATAACATTANACATTTGTATTATAACGCGCACTCTGATTGGTTTATCATCCCACAGCTTACACCATAACATAACACAGTTATAGTATAACGCGCACTCTGATTGGTTCATCTCCCACAGCTTACACCATAACATTACGCAGTTGTATTTTAACGCGCGGTATTTTAACTTTTGCGATATATTTGAGAATTGATATTCTTAAAACCATTGTWGACATCAAAGACTTATCTCCTGACATGTTCTGGTTATTCATAACGTGGAATTTAGAAGAAGATATCGTAAAATAGSCAAAAACGTGATTGGAAAAGGGCCTTTCATTGTTGCTTTGCTATGAAAAATGTTATCAATGTTGGATACCAAGTGTATCTTTAATATATTTTTATTTCGCAAGTTAAAAGGGCATCTGATCTTTATTTGACAGGTTGAGTCTGTTCACACTAGAAGACTTGCGCAATAACATCATGACGATGATATCCAAATCCAGAATGTCCAAGGTATGCTCAATGCTATGTTCTTTGCTTCCCTCACAGCTGAAAGAGAATGCTGATTCCCTAGTACATGAAATTTTCTTGACGAATTCATTAAACGCCACACTGTGTTTCTTAACTACAGATTCATTCTCACGGGGTCAGCCTCGTTTCTGCACAGTATATTCCTGTGTTCGAGTGTGSAATTTCAAAGTGTTTGTATTGTCGAAGTTAAGTATTTACTTAACCGTTGGTTGAATATTTCAAAATGAGGCCAAACCCTGCGTAAATGAATCTGTAGTCAAGGAACACAGCGGTATTATACGAATTCGAAAAAATTAAGTTGGGGATGTTGTGCAATAATTAATTCTAAGGCACTTTACTTTCTTTCTTTCTTTAAGTCAGTAGAGCATTTTGGCGCCAAAATAATAATAATAATAATTTTATTTATATAGCGCATTTTCCAATATGCCCAAATGCGCTTCTCATGGGACTAACAATATATTCATGATAAAAAGATTAAAAAAAAAAAAAGATATATACTATTTAACAACTATATCTATTTACAATTCTAAATTGTTAATATCTAAAAAAGAAACTAATGATCTAAAACTAATATCTAAAAACTAATAAAAAACAACTGAGAAAGAACGTAGACCATATGACTGGAGATTATAAGATTTTGACTGAGACAGCAACAAGTGAGAAGACGAGCGAAGATTTCTAGCAGATTTGTTTAGATTCTTTTTCAAAAGCAAATAATAACATCAGTTATGTTTCTTTGTGTATATTTTTCTAGTGGAGGATTCTCCGTGGCTGTGCATGTCGCTGTGCCTTTGTCTGCTGCTACGGCTGCAAATGTGTCAAGTTTGATGGTCAACGAGATGAATTGGATTCTGAGATAGAAAACATCGAGATTCCAGAAATAACCCATTCTAATTCAATGAGGTTTTACCCCCCTGGCCGTATCCTGCATGTTGTCAAGACTTGTTCTGTCAGTCGGTAAGTAACCAATGACAACCTGGGATGATAAGAAGGGGGGGGGGGGGGGGGGTATGGGTGATGTTTGTAGTAGGTTTTAATATAAACCCCCCCGACCGTATCCTGCATGTTTTGAAGACTTGTCCAGCACGACCACTCTTCTCTTCTGCCCCTGGTATGTTGTTCCTTCCAGACGTCATAATCATATTAAGAGAGAATTCTTTTCGTATTCAAGCAGTGAGCGCCAAGAACTATTCTCTTGAAGAAAGGCTGTTGTACAAGGCTAAAATCTTGTTATTCAGAAAGTTTAACATGTTTGGGAGTGGAGATGACCGATGAAAGTGGAATCAAAGTGTTAACCCAAAGCAAAAATTTTATTCGAAAATGAGGTTTAGGCCTTCATTTGCTTATTTCCCATACATTTTCTATAAAAAAGCCTGATAAAGCARCATTCTAACACAAATGCAACAAAACATCTTTGTACAATTGAAAACACCGTTTCAAACAAGCATTTTATCATAGTACATCAGTTTCTAACTGTTTAAAAAAGGTTTTGAGTGTTAACCCAAAACGAAAAAAGGGATCAAAACTCATACGACAGTCTAGTTTTTGGCGCTTTTTGCCATTATTGCTCTTTATTGAAAAAAATTTCCTTTCAATAAAATATTAATGTACTTCTTTGTCCAGCGGCTGTGGCGAAACCGAGACAATGTACGAACCTGTGTGGGCGGGTCTTGAAGAATTCCAGTCCATCAAGATATCAGGCTTAATGTGGAAGGACCACATGCCAGACTTTGTACTAGAAGCCCTCAATAAGTGCTTACCAAGTAAAGAACAAGAAGAAGCTGTAATGAATGCACCTCACTCGCCACGCCCACTYGCCCTGGAGGTACCCAGTAATGACTGGTACTGTAGGCCAAGAGATTCGTACTCACAGGATAGCATCTCGTATCGGTCTGATGTGGAACAGTATACCATTGAAGTACCTAGTTTTCCAGTTGAGCAATCAGGTTAGTATTAGGGACCTTAAGCTGCAGGACGGCAACGACGACGACGACGGCAACCATACAATAGCACTAATTGCGCTATTCAATAGATACTCGTTGGAATGTACGAAATACTGTGCATCATTGCCGTCTTATGCTGAAAGTAAATGTCCTATTTTTACGTACTAAAGAGAACGGCTACTCTAAAAGCTTATCTTTGCGGATTTGCGTTATAAGTAAAGCGCTCCCAAAAGACGTCATTTCACTCCAAAACGGGGATGCTTATTGAGTAAAGTTGCCGTCCTGCAGCTTAAGTACCCTATTGKTATTAGTGATTCGACGGTTTGACATCTGCTAGAATTCCCCCACTTCACATCAAACTGAACTCGGGAAATGATCAGTGAACAGGCGTCTATTAATAGAGTTGATTTCACGGATAAAAATCCGCATAAAAATCGATTATTAGTAGCGATTTGATGGTTTGTCATTTACGACAGCCCCCTTCCATTCCGCGTAAAAATCGAGAAATACTCGGGAAATGATCGCTGAACATTCGGCTATTAATATTGATTACATGGTTTGTCATTTAAGACAGCCCCTTCCATTCCGCGTAAAAATCGAGAAATACTCGGGAAATRATCGCTGAACATTCGGCTATTAATATTGATTGCATGGTTTGTCATKTAAGACAGCCCCTTCCATTCCGCGTAAAAATCGAGAAATACTCGGGAAATGATCGGTGAAMATTCGGCTATTAATATTGATWACATGGTTTGTCATTTGCAACAGCGCCCTTTCCATTCTACCAACATGAAAATCGATAATTATTCGGGAAATAATCGGTGGACAGTCGACTWTTAATAGTTTAGTGACTGATACATTTTGTTTATGACACTTCTTTCCATTCCTTCTATCGTAAAATACTCGGTGAATGATAGGTGAAGGAGTAACTCTTGGTGTACTACGTTTTTTCTCCTTCATTCTGGAAACTTGTGCTTTTGTGCCATTGAAAAGTTTTATTRGTGTGCTAAACCATGTATCCGTGAAATAGCTAAAAAACTAAATAGCAATGAACAGGACTATTCTTTTGTCTCCAATTGTTTCATTGATGCTATTTTGTACTTATTAGTATTATTTCACGGATATATGCTTTGCAGTCTAGTATGGATGACACTAAAACACTACATCCCCCAATGTCCATGTTCTTGAAAGGAAAATTTGTCGTGTTTTTATAATACGTGCGTGACATCAGTAATCAGATTGTCAAACAGTACTGACAGATCTTGTTCTACCCGAGTCTAAAATTACTTACATTTTCATCATATCTGGGCTCTCATTGAAYACTTCTGCACCCTTAATCGTACGTGACATCAAAGTTCAATCCAAGGTTAACATCGCACAAATCAGATTATCAAGCATTAGTGACAGATCCKGTTCTACCTAAGATCGAAATACTAACATTTCCATCATATCTGGGCTTTCATTGTTAATACTACTGCACCCTTAAGAGCTGTTCACGGTAGTATTACCCTTTAAAGTATCYCATCAGTTGGTTTGACTGAAAACAATTCCACCATGATGGTATTAAGATACCTGTATAAACGCAAATGTTCTATTTCACCATCTTCAGCGGGAGCTACGAGCAAGAATCTAAGCAGCCAAGCCGATTCACGGGACTCTATCACTATCGGTAAGTCACTCTTAGATCATTAAATACATTAAATACATTAAAGGGCTCGTTTCAATGCTCTTGATTGTTTTAGAAAACAATTTCACATTCGTTTAACCAAGAGCAGACTCCGATTTTAATAAGAGCATGTTACGATGTGATTTTTTTTTGGAAGTAGTTTGGATCATGTTGTGGTCTGACATCGGCTAAACTTATGATATGTAAACCCCTACACTACTTGTCCATCTAAATAGTCGATTSGAACTTACAAAGTGGCTCAGAAGTGAGCCATAAGATGTATCGAAAATGTTTTCAAGTTCACCATTCGTACTGCGATAACTCGATCTGTTCATCGCGACCTCCGGTACGCATTTTTGGAATACCATTTTCTTTAATGGATCTCCAAAACTCTTATTTTCATTTGCTGTTCTAAAATGGAGTTTGCTTGCGATTCTATTCAAGTGCCGTAATGGGTTTGTCAATTCTTGACCTTTATGTAACACTGTAAGCACTATTTGAAATCGTAGTTCGAGCCTTTCATCGTATGCAGCACTTAAATGGTTGAAGTTCTAAAAAAAACATTTGACGGGCTTTATTCAGTGCACTTRCAACAATGTTTTCAAACTTTCACACAAATGGTATTTCAAAATTTTACTCGTAGCAATTAAATGCCACTCTGAATGTTGATCTTAGCATTAAATGAATGTTATTCCCAATGTTTGATSGTAGCACTTCAATGGTATTCCGAATGTTTGATCGTAGCACTAAAATGGATTTCCGAATGTTTGATGGTAGCACTTCAATGGTATTCCGAATGTTTGATCGTAGCACTAAAATGGATTTCCGAATRTTTGATCGTAGCACTTCAATGGTATTCCGAATGTTTGATCGGAGCACTAAAATGGTATTCCGAATGTTTGATCGKAKCACTAAAATGTATTTGCAAGCCTTTGGTTGTCGCAATGTGCTGACAAACACAATTAATTGAACATGACATATTAATTGATACCTAAAGGTATTTGAGATGTCGGGTGACAATAGGATTTGCCGAGCACTTTCTGCTAACATTTGTTTTCAATGGTAATCGTGGACTGATTTTTTTCTTTTTTGTTGATTTGTTTTCTTATTATTCATTTTCTTATTGTGGTTTTTTTTTTTCTTCTTCCTCTTCCTCTTCCTTTTTGTTTGTGTGTGTGTGTGTAAAACACATAAGGCGCGCTTGGATGAAAACGCCCCGATGTTTGAAAGTCCGAATAATTGAAGTATTTGAGGATAATATGACTCAATTATGATTATGAAAATCAGATTAGCGGAAATTTTAGCCTGGGAGCCACTCGCTGTTGAGATATTTTGAGTTAAAAGCGAAAAGGTTGAGTAAATGACGTCATTTACTCACAATTTAGACGCTGAATAAAATTGTTAATCCCCCCCCACTTTTGACTGTGAAGGAAACATGTTGCTTGGCTACGATCTGGGCCATATAGATAAGTTTAAACAAGTTTCAAGTCATTTCAAATTTTTAGTGATTTTCATCCAAGTGCTCCTTTAAAATCGGTTCTGGATTTTTTCACCCTTGTCTGCATTCAATTCTGTCTGTAATGTTCTGGGACGAAGATTCATGTAGTTTAAATTCTGGGATTCTTCGCCGAGGAGAGAAAGAAGGAAGGGAGGGAGGTAGGGAGAGGTACTCCGATCATTAGCTATCCTCAGTGTTCCCGCTCAAATATCTGCGAAGGAGGCGACTGTTTCTTTAACCATTTGCCGCTTGCATCGCATTACTAATACAGTGATTTATACCCACTAATTCATAGATAAACAGTGAACGATGATCCACTTGTAAAGATAAACATTAACTTTAAACTTCACATAACTTGGAGCTCAATGATGGAGGTACTTGGTAATGGGGAATAACAAACCACATGTGGTTGACACAGGTAGCCCATTCCTTGTTTTTGTGTGCAATAGAAACCCTCACTATTGATTGGCTGGTTGCTCCCCTTGAATCTGTTTCCCTTTACCGTGACCTTGCCTTTGCTAAGGATGATATTTAAACTCGTTGAATATGATCTATTTATGCCGTTTTAAGTTTGTTTCCCGTTGCCAAGGAAACCCTTTATCATTGCTTCTAAATGGCTACATGTCACGTGTTATCGGTGCCATACTAAAGAGTCTAAGAGCGTAACACATGTAAAATGAATCCGTGGGGTCCAAGAATGATAAACTAACAATAAAGTGTAATCTTAACTAATACATTTACCATAAAATACCAGCCGTTCTCTTMAAGCACAATAGGTATGTTTTAATTAAAACTAAATCTTTAAATATAACCATTATCAGCTGTAATATAACGCCACAGCTATCCCATGCTAAATGTTGGTTACCTAGCTGTACTTGAATACACGTGGTATTTTTCCTACTTCTACATGTATTATCAGATAAAAACTGGGTCGAGTTGTCATCGAAGTGAATTGTGGGGCTGTTTTTTTCAACTTCTGAATGATATATATTTACACCGAAATATAGCCAATCAGAATGCAGGAMAGCCGCATTTTCGGCAGCATTCCATTGTTCCTTCCCATCAGGCATTGTGGCCTCAGTAGGGTGAAATGAAATACTTATACAATACTTTCTCATGGCACATACTATCCCAGTGATTTAACCTCTACATGAAACAATCATACACTTAAAAGCTCTTTACTATAAAAATATTCCATAGTTTGTCACCCAAAACCATTCAGTGTATATACGGTCACAGTATATATATACATTTATAAAAGAAATTGAAACAACGCGCGCGCTGATTGGCTGGCTACCGTGTTTATATTAGACGACAGAGAGGCGCTTGCGCAAAATCGTTTGGAAATATTTTATAAAACTCGTTCCTTAGCTTGCCTCTCTCGTGCTCTGTAGCCCCCAGCGTGTATAAAGTACAGAGACACGCGCGCGAGTTTGATATTGCTTAAGTAGTATACACCTAATTGAAAAAACGTAGTCGGGTTCGAGAAGGTCATATCATCGAAGCTAAGACCAAAAAGGATTTTGGGTACTCCGAAATGTGTATTATATTTGCATATAGACATGTAAAAATGCACAGTAGAGCAAAGTCGGTCGACCTAGATAAACAACATGCCAAAGCCATGATGCATAAAATGTGCAAAGGAAGGGAAAACTGCAATATGCATGAAATTAGCATAATTGTTTGTTTTCCCATGCTCCCCTTCGGTCTTAGCTTTGATGATATAACCTTTTTTTGAACCCGACAACTTTTTTTCAATTAGGTGTATGCCACACACCTGTTTCAATAAAGGTTGACGGTTGGAGATCTGAAATGGAAATTTTTGTACTTTTATATTTCCTGGCTAAATTACAAAAAATCACATTCCTAACTCAAAGGTCGTGCTTCATATTACAATCTAAAAACATACTACGTTGTTTGGCTTTGAAGGTACAGTAAAGCCCCGCGTATAAGAACCTAGATTTTTCCAAGTCAGCCTGAAGGGGTTCTTATATTAATGGCGCTTAACTTGAAATCAGGCTATCTAGGTTCTTAAATGGGTTCTYAATTTTTGGTAAGAAAAAGAGTACTTGTATTGGCATTTTATACATTAAATAATTCACACATTTTCATGCTAGCTACATGGAATATAGTAGAGTACAAATATTAAAAGCACGTAAATCATACAAAATACAGTATAGTGTTAAGTTATGCACAGATTGACTTTATATTTGGAAACTAAGAACCTACTTTAAAACTTCAGCCTGAAATGGTTCTTATGTGAAGGGTGCTTGACATGCAGCCTGACAGGTTCTTAAATTTGAGGTTCTTATACCYGGGGTTTTACTGTATTATATTTTGCAGCATGTTACTCGGTCTGTGATTTCAGATTTCAAATCTCGGACCTACAACGTCTTTAAAAATAGGTGTATAGATCTARTAAATGTAGTGGTGTTTCTAATCTATTCATAAAAGCTGATTTAACGAAGGGACGCGATGAACTCGTTCCTAATTAGCATAACTGTCTTACATGTTGTACTTGTGTTCCCTTTGGGGTACGCATTAGATATGGACGCGCGTCGTTCTGATGTCGAAAGCAACACCAACAGCTATGAAATCAACGTGTAGTTCATTTCAGGTAGGAAACAACTAAACTACTAAAATCTCCTTTTGATTCGGAAAAAATTTAAAACAGATTTAAACAGATTGAATCCTAAGAAAATTGCAACAAACAGCGCTAATTCTCTATAAAACAATAAGATATTATTAAAGTATCGTATGTTTTTTGCATGAATGGGGAAGTCACGAAAGTGGTCTGCCTTAGACCTTTTCTGAGATAGCGAACATGGTGCATTGTGGTCTAGCTTGGGTACAAGCATCTTGCCTTATATGGTGTTGTTTGTACCGAAGCTAGATCACAAGACACCAGGGAAAAACGTTTGCGCATGCACGTTTTCTAAGAATTTTGAAGAGTTTGAGTGAGAAAATATATGTTTGTTTTCTCCGAGTATACAAAAAAATTCGCGAGTATACTTTTGTCAGACCAAGACACTGTATCAACAAACACAATATGAAAGAATTAGCCTTAAGTTTCAAGCATGGACACTAAGTTTTGGCATTTTGTGAAGTCCAATTTATCAGGCATGTTTGGAAGTCAAATTTACATATGTTTTGAGTAATTTGCATACGGATTCAGAGCRTGCGCAGACGTTTTTCACTCGTGCCAGATCACAATGCATCCTGCTTTTCAAACTCAGAAAAGGCCTATATGTGTTGTAAGAATCCGCCCTAAACATGAGTGAAGAACATCTGCGCATGCTCAATGTATGTATGCAAATTAGTCGACAACGACTTCCTGATTTTGTAAAAATATGCAAATTTGCAAGTCAGTTCTTAAAAMTTAAGGCTAATTAACGCTAATTTTCTTTATTAATTCTGTATCTTGGTCTCACTAAAACATACTAAAGAACTGTCTGCGGTATATTCGGAGAAAACGAACATTTATTTTTTCATTAAAATGTTTTCGAATTCTTGGGRAGTATGTTCAAACGCACGCATGCGCAAACGTTTTTCTCTAGCCTTGCCTCCATTTTTGGTTGATATAACGAAGAAAAATMAAATAAAATCCATTAAACCAATAAATAAAGATGGTGGATATGGCGTCACATGTAATTTATTAATAGCACAGCTTTTTCTGCGTGTGTGTTTGGGTGCGGAGAGCATGTACTACGGCGAACAATGCATGATGTGAYGAAACGGGTCTTACAATCTTTCCAACTAAAAATTGTAACTAATCTCCAAAAAAATTTTGTTTTAAAATATCTCCARGCGTATTCCAGACCTATTTGTATTTTGCCATGCTTAAAATAGATTTTCTGACCTTTTATTAACCTAAATAAAAACCCTCAAAAACTCGTTAGCAACTACTAATTTTCTCAATGTAATTCTCGGCTTTAAACAATAGGCTTATAGATAAACATTAGAATATAACAAATCGCTAATAATATAACTTATTAATAATTTTATTTTCATTATGATTCAGAACTTTAAGAAAACCATATAAATGTATTTTTTTGATTTAATCTAACGGCTAARTATACAAATCTAAGCCAATAAAAATGTTAATTCAATTCCTAAGTTTAAAAATATAAGAATTCTCATCTCATCTTCCATAAGCTTTCCTGATAACCTCTCGCATACTGTCATAGCACATATTTCTTACTTGCTATATATTAACAGTTAAAAACCTATATCCACTGACACCAGTCWAGTTTCTGATTGTGTTCGCTTAATACAGGTTCCACTCTCTTTGATCAACGGAAGCGTGTTTGCATAGGAACTTACATCCAAGAGAAAAAACGTGGTCTGAAATGGGACTACGCTCAAAGCAAATAGTTCTATTGACCGAAGTTGTCTAGGCTTGTTAAGGCTCTAAAATGGGAAAATATTACACATCAACTAGCAAGAACCAATAAACCTTATTGGTATCGATTCAGTGTCTTCCCATTACAGACCACGTGTCATTCATTAGAGCGTCATTTCTTAGTTTAGAGGTTGCATATAAAAAGACACATGGATATTCAACTTCACTCTCATAGTATCACCTTTAGAAATGCATGATGCAGCGGCCTTTGGCTTAACATCATTAATCTATAAAACTTCTCAAGTCAGGCAGATTGCTCCAATACCTTCTTTCAGTCTTTTTCCTTTGTCGTTTTGGAAAAATATGAAATAATATTCTCTTTATACATCTCGTTTATCTGGTTTACTTGATTTGGAATTGTTTCGTTGTTATMTAATTATTGTACTTCATTTGCGTTGTCGGGTTGAAAAGATTAAAGCAGGGAAGCTAAGACCGAGGGGAATTCTGGGTAGTCAGTATCAGGGCGTTTGGATAGAGTTTGCATAGTGCAGTTTTCGTATGACTGTGAAAAATTCGCAGCACGAACGCGGCCGTGACACGGCAAGAGATACGCCAGACCAATCACATTGCACGAGAATTTACTCTCCATCCAATCAAATACCCAGAACACGGCATAAACACGGCGCGGACACGGTCACGCCAAGATCACGGCACTGCCAGACCAACCACATTGCGCGTGAAAAAAATCAGCCAATTAAAATTCGAGAAAGTATCACGGTCACGGCACGTCACACTTACGGCACTGAGCTTTTCACAGTCATACGAAAACTGCTCTACAAACACGCGCATGAAGAGTGAAGACAAAATACTTTGTTTGGTAATTTGAATCTATATTCCACAGCTGTAAAACTTCAATATGCATAATATTCGCATTAGTCCCGTTTACCCAGAACACTCTTCGGTCTTAGCTTCAGAATTTTACCCTTTTTAAACCCGAGAACAGTTTTTGAATTTTGTCTACATTGTCCATAATGTGCTAGTTTTACACTCCCTTTTCGTGCATGGAATCTTAATGAATTAGTATAAAGCTTATCTTCTTACACTCAGCTACCTTTAAACACGATTAATATCAACCTCTAGGCTTTTAAAACTAAACTAACATAACTTTATTCTCAGAAATACACAAAATTAAGAAGAATATATCTGCAGCAAGCGCACACAATACCGACAGTCAGGACTCGTTCAAGGTTCCCTTAGCAAGGCCAGAAAGCTCATTAGATGGTTCCGACCTCGAAGAMAGTGCATCCTCTTCACGGATCTCTTCAACATGGAAGGAGTTTCACCTACCAGTTGTTGAACAAAGTATTGACTCTCTGAATTCTTCTCGCTCAAGATGCGAGGCACTTTCTCCGATTGCCGTCAAGTCCTTATCTACTACTCCAACTATTCACGAACATTTGAATGAGCAGTTTTTCTCGATACCTAGTATTCCTACGTCTCATTCTGCTTTCTCTGCTCCTCCTCCCAAACCTMCTCGGACGTATGAAACCGAGCGGTCAAGGGAATGGAAATCCTCTGATTATAACACCTCTATTAGTAGTAATAACAGTGTACAGTCACCCTGTTCAATAGCACCTCCAAAGCCTCCCAGAACGTTTGAATATGTCATGGTTGATTGTGCATCGTACTCGTATGGTCTTTATTCTCTTTCTCCAACCTTGTCTCCTTACAAGGAATCGATTTCGTATCCTAATGGTTTTACTCACGCTCAAGGGTCCAGCTCGATTGAATGCCAAGATTTTGTTGATAATGCTAACCCACTTGCTGTCAATGCTACAGGAAACCCTTACAAGTCGCATTCAACCAMTGTCACTTACCTGCAAGACCGATCTTGTCTCACCTTGTGTAATGGATTCAAGGAAATTCAATCTTCGCGAAATAACTATACAAAACAACCACAGAATTCCACTAAATCTTACACTTTGAATAAGCCGTCTCGGGTTTTRTCCGACGACAAAATGGATGTAAATAATTTCTCTAAAAAACAACTTCAAATCGAACAGAAAAGCTACAGCCTTGTTAATACTACAGAAATCAATCGTGGGCTGAAAAATGGGTTATCAAACTCGACAGGACAACAAAATGTTGTTATCCGTCAAGGAAAAGGGAACAGGAATAGGAGCAAACGCCGTGCTATTTACTGGGACGGTGATGAGACAACCAACTTGCTTCGGTATTCTTGTTCTTGTTCTGATATCCCGGATGTTTCAGTACTCGAACCCAGTACCCATGAGCTAGAAAATGGTATGCTAGAGACTTTATTATGATTGATAGTTTGACTATGAAACCAGGAGCACGTGAGGTAAAGCGCCATTTGGCTTGGGATACCTGTGGTGTTTTTACTTGTTTGGGACTTAGAAATAAGGAGTCAAAGTAGCGATATATGGAATTATACGATTCATTATCTCGTAAACCTTTTGACAAAATCAGCCAAAAGTTTGGCACAAAATTGGGAGATATGTAATCTTTCAAAATGCAAAGTTTCGCTGGCAAGCGATGAGCAGAAGAGCACTAAATTTAGGATAAATTAAGTAGTTATTGGCGATTTTGAGATCGAAGCTGCCAGCATACTTTAAGTATTTCTTTACTAGGCAAGCTGAATTTTCCCAAAGTCCCAAACAGACTTTATTGAGTTTATTTTAGCTAAATCCTTGTTTTAAAAATGTATTGTTTTTTAGCCGTTTTAAGAAACATTTCACTTGAGATAATCTCGCTCATTAGCAGTTGTTTTACGCATGGTTTTGGATTGCTTTTAATCTTTAAGATTCACTGGGGGTGGTTTCCAAACTTCTTTCTTACTTCACGTGCTCTTGATTATGGTCCAAAATTCTTGGAGTATTTTAATGAATCATTAATATATTATTAATGTATTGCTAAATCATTATTTATTAGAAAATGTTTTGGGTATATAGRCGCAAGAAATGCGTAACAATAAAGTGATGATATGCAAACGGTTTATATGAATAATGAGTTTTCTTAATACGCGCGCTTACTGTGCGGTTGTGACACGTGTTAAGAAGTACCACGTGATTATTGATATGGAGAATCACTGTTCGAAGTGCTTATGCGCCGTCATCCATTTAATGCATTGCCAACTGTTACTAGAAATAACCAGTACTTCCGTGTCGCTTTTTGAATGGAAGGTATTACTATTACCCTCGTAAAGGTGCCAAAAAATGATATAAAACATGACGTACCGTCTTCATGTCAACCAGGATAATGAGAGCAATTGAGTTTTACTATCAATAGACGTCACTTCTGGTAATATCTGTTTTGAATGGGTTGGGGCAATAGACCCCTTCACAGTTCCCTGCGCCATCTTAAAAGGTAGCCATGCCTTTGCATCGAAGCGAGACGAACGATAAGCTTGCAATGATAGAGACCTTTTTTAACACCTTGGACAACTATTCGCATATCTCTATCACTGCAAGCTCACCGTTCGACTCGCTTCCATTCAAAGGCATGGCTACCTTTCAAGATGGCGCAGGGAACTGTGAAGGGGACTATTAACATTCAGAAGCTTGGAGACTCTTGGAGGTTGTATGCGTATCTTGATTTCTGGTGTCATACAGTAGAAATAGTGAGATTATAGTGAGAAATAGTGAAATAGTTTTGACTCATCAGTTGCTAGTGGCATATGAATTGCTCCGCAGTCAATTCATAAGAGTCCTGTGATTGATAGTKTAATAGTAAGCAATTGCATGGCGTGTGAAAGAATAACCCATTTTCTACTTTTGGGAGTCCTGTGGTGTAGAGATTAATTAAGATTAGAGATAGGGATTTATCAATTTTCTTTGTCTGTCTGTCTGTCTGTCTGTCTGTCACTACTTTTTCAATCTGTTTTCTGTCTGCGTTGAGTCTGTTTTTCTGTTTGCATCAGTCTTTTTGTCTGTCTGTCCGAGTTCTTTCTCTAATATCTTATTTTTGTTTGCAGCTCAAGGTAAAAACTAGACAGACAGTGAAGTAAAAATTCCATGGAAGGTAGACTACTAGGGTAGTAGGTAATCGGACAATAGACGTAGATCAGTCTTGGCTTTGGCGCAACAAGATCAAATATCCCAATGTTCTTTGTCAGATTCACCAAAATAGTGAAATAGTACCCAGAAGTCTTCACGACAACCCCACCCCACTTGTCCTTTGCGGGCATATGATGATCCAAGTGCAGTAAATGTTCTTGTCAGTAAATTTTGCCAGGAAAGCATATAGGAAAGCAAAGGCCTACTTTTTGCGAAGATTTAATTCTAATAAAAAAATGGATTAGAAAAACAAAAATGTGGATAAGACGGGATTCCAACCCACCAAAAGAATTTTAACAAAAAATTGATTCCACTGTGCCATACCCCCGAGACATCCACAGAGCTGAGGCGGCGTATGGACTTCGGACCTGACGGCGATTAAATCCTTCTGCCCTTGGCTGTACGAATTTACATATCGGAAATCAGAAGGCTGCGATGAATACTTTGATCCCCCTTTTGAAAATAAGTATGAATGTCCAATATGTCTGCTTGGTCTGAGAGAACCAGTACAGACAGAATGTAGACATCGTTTCTGTAGAGCCTGCATCTTACGTTCACTTGTAAAAATCCGTGATGAATGTCTAGCACGTGGAATTGAAGGTCGCAAATTTTACTATTTAATCATGCAATTTGCTCATGTCCCGATAAAAAAAAAAAAAAGATATAAATTTTTGGCCACATGCTCAAAGAACATTTTCGATCTCACGATATCCTGCATGTGAACTCCTCGCACATGAAGCTATGGACATGTCATCCAATCCATATATGGATAGTATTGCGCAATTARCATTCTCTGACACAGGGAAGCACGGAGAAACGCAACTCATTTTATGACTGCACTGGTCTGCCACAGGCACCCCAGTAATGACATTCCCTTGAGAATTTTTCATTTATGCGACGAACATGTTAAAATATTGACCGCATTTAAGAGTATCCTTTATTCAAATGACCATATTCAACAGTATCCTTTTATTCAAATGACCGTATTTAAGAGTATCCTTTTTTTCAAAAGACCATATTTAAAAGTATCCTTTATTCAAATGACCATATTTAAGAGTATCCTTTTATTCAAATGACCWTATTTAAGAGTATCCTTTTATTCAAATGACCATATTTAAGAGTATACTTTTTTCAAATGGCCGTATTTAAGACTATCCCTTTTTTCGAATGACCATATTTTAGTGTATTTTCAGTAAGGACAAAGCTTGCTCTCACAAATTGGTTGTCCTTCTAGATGGTATTACCTATGTTATCGTACCGGTTGAAAAGATAAAGCTTATTCTAACGTATGAATTGTCCTTTTAGGTGGTATTAGAAAAAAATAATAATAATAAAAATTAGAAAAAGATAAAAAATATTTCAAGAGCTGGAATTTAAACCTTGAGTTCACCAACAAAAAGTTACAAAAAAAAAAAAAAATCGACTCCACTTTGCCATACCCCCGAGACATCCGCAGAGCTGAGGCGACGTATGGACTTCGGACCTGACGGCGATTAAGTGGTAAAGTTATTTTTGTCGCTTTCCAAAAAGACGATCATTATATTCTAGGCGCCAAAGGCGCCACTGCTTAGACTAAGTACGCCAAAGCCGCGCCTCCTGCCAGACCTGCAACTCCTACGAAGACCAACTCATTGTCTTTTTGTTTCTTAGAAGGCTGATAGTAATTCTTAAACTGAGRCTTTCTCAACCCCGTCGATGCCGCGGGGTGCGCCTGTGCATAAAGCTTAAAGGCGTAGTCTGTGTTTTCGAAGTTCTTATCCGCCTGCATTTTGTCTTGGTAGTTCTTATCCAACCAATCCCTGTAAGCTTGCCTCTTTTCATTCCAAGCCGCCACGTCCCGCTGATATTTCTCCAGCGCTAAGTCGTGCCTTTTCCTCTCGGCGGCCAAATTTCCGCTGCGATCACCTCTAACTAATCTATCCAAATACTGACCACCATAATTAGCTCCAGTGAATGCTAAAGCTGCAATGACTCCACCTGCAAGCAAGGTAGCCATTTATACTAGACGCAAGCAAAGCTTACGTCGTCGGCAGGTACTTTTCCTTACGTAGGTAATCCTTTACCATGATAGCCCCGCCTACGGCAGCGGTCATTTTAGCAAAGTTAGCGAAGCTCTTGCTTGGGTCTTCAGTAAAGTCTTCTTTGAGCACTTTCTTACCTACCCAACCAATACCCGCAACG